TTTTGTACTGATATTAGATATGTTTCCGGGGAAGAAAATATAGTTGCGGATTGTTTTTCGCGCATAGCAGCGATAGACGCATCACCTATAGATTACAAAAAGTTAGCCGAGATACAGAGTAAAGATACAGAGTTAAAGGATCTTTTGGAATCGAACACGATTACAATTTCGAAAGTTATTCATGCATAATTGCGAGTTACCTATATATTGCGAGGTGTCGACTAATAGGACGCGACCATATTTGCCTAAGGAATTTCGTGTATCAGCTTTCAACGCGGTGCATGACATTAGCCACCCTGGGACGCGTGCAACTAGAAGAATGATGCAAGATCGTTATATATGGAAAGGAATGAACAAAGACATTACACAGTGGGCTAAAACGTGTATAAGTTGCCAAAAATCTAAAATACACAGACATACTGTGTCACCTCATGGGCATTTTGTACATAGTGATAGATTTGAACACCTTCACATGGATATTGTGGGTCCTTTAACTTATAGCAGCGGTTATAGGTATATTGTAACAATGATAGATAGGAACACCGGGTGGCCTGAAGCCATTCCTGTAAAGGATATAACCGCCCAAACTATAGCGGATATTATTTACACCGGATGGATTGCGAGATTTGGAACCCCTTTATACTTGACAACCGATCAAGGATCTAACTTTTTGTCTAATTTGTTTTTCCAATTAACTAGAAGAATGGGTATTAATAAGATTAGAACCACTGCTTATCACCCGCAATCGAATGGTCTTGTGGAAAGATGGCATCGCTCGTTTAAAACCGCACTTATGTGCCGAGGAAACACGGAACATTGGGTATCAGAATTACCATCTGTTCTTCTGGGATTAAGAGCTAGTATGAGAGACGACACGCAGATTAGTGCGGTGGAGATGGTGTTTGGAGAACCTTTAAGGTTGCCTGGGGATTTCTTCGAGCCTATAAAGCGGGAAACTTCTGACAACAATTTATTTTTGCAAGAATTACGTAGTAAGATATCAAATTTAGTAGCAGTGCCCAAAAAGGCGAACCATCAAGGAAAAATATTCGTCCATCCCGATCTTAAAGACTGCACTCATGTATTTGTTCGTGTTGATAAGGTCACAAAACCTTTAACACAACCCTACATGGGGCCGTTCAAAATTATCAGCAAAACGGAAAAAAATTATAAAATTATGCAACAGGATACGGAGAAAATAGTTAGTATAGATCGATTGAACCCAGCCTTTGCACTTAACAACAGCGAGACATGCTCGAAGATACCAAATATGGCAAGTTATAATGTAAACAATGAGCCGAGAGTGTCGAGCTTCGGCCGAACTATCAAACCTGTCGTGCGCTTCGCCACATAAACACATAATGTACTAAATATCATCATTGATTGTCGAGAACAATGGGTGTGATTATATAGTGGGAGTGATTATATAGTGTTGTGACGTGTGTCTAAATAAGTGCTGATAATGACATTAATAAACAATTGCATGAACTTGGACAGTGTTGATACAATGTGTAATCGGAATATTAAACGTATTTTAAACTTATGTGTAACTAAATTAAAAAATAACACTTATATTTTTAAGTTATGTTTGTAACCAATTTTTTTTATTAGGGGGATGTACTGTGCCTACGGCACTTCAGTATTGTATTGACGGCTATATTAAACAGACGTGTCATCGTATATTGAGAGTTTTATTACAATACTCGACACCAAATAAAGACTATACATACAAAACAGTACAAGATCACATGTAACTGCGTGTACACGTAATTCAGGTAAGTTTGTTCCCGTCTCTGCGAGCATGTGATTGGGCCAATCCTTGACCGAAGCCTTAAGGAAAGGCGGTCCTTCTCACCACAGCGACAATACCTGAACCTCATCCGGATACGCACCTCGTGTAGCGAGATCTGCGGGATTACAGGATGAGGGAATGTATTTCCACTCGCTGTTGGAACACAAATCATTTACCTCAGCTACCCGATGAGACACAAGCGCACTTAACCTATTTGAACTTGTTTTTAACCAACCCAAAACTACCTTTGAACCACACCAAAAATATTTATTATTTATTCAACAACGTAATGAATTAATGATTTTCATTACACACACATTCATTTCGCACAGTTTCACACATTTCCTAACGCATCCACAAACCGTAGATGTGCACATGCAGCATAAGCTTTCATTGACGCATCAAAAAACATATGCAACTCGATAATAATAGGATTAACACATACAGCATGACGTGGTATTGTCACATTCCTCAAACAATTCAAATTCTCTATAAATCTTTGCCACATATCACCAATTGTGGCAGGAATTTCATCATCCCATCCAATATTCTGTTCCCATAATAACTGTAATATCATCTTGCATACAACAGTGCAAGGTGATATTAAACCCAATGGATCAAAAATGCTTGATGAAATTGACAACACCATCCTTTTGGTATACCATGCATTATAATTACTTGTTAACTTAATTGATACAGATAAAAGAATACAATCAACATTTGGTTCCCATTCTATTCCTAATATATTAGTGGATGTAGATAATTTCAACCTCTCTTGACTGCTATCACTACTATTATTTGATATAAAATTTAATAACTCTGTTGAATTACTCTTAATTTTTCTTAAGTGAAAACCTGCTGACTTTAAATTCTCAGTGACTTGTATATACTTCAATTTTATTAAACTTGAGTCTCCAGTGTTCAAATCATCTACATAATAATCATGTAACATAACCTCCTTTATATGAGGATCACTACATTCAAGCGCTAACTGCTTGAGACACCTTGTACTTAAAAATGGAGCTGATGATGTACCATAAGTTAAAGTATTCAACTGCAGATATTTCAAACGCTCCTGTTCATTTTCTCGCCACAGAATGACTTGCAAATATCTCTGACTAGGATGTATCAAAATTTGGCGATACATCGTCTCTATATCACCTGTTACTACATATGTATGTTCTCTGAACCTGGTGAGCATGGAGAATATGTCAACTTGTACTGTTGAAAAATACTGCTTTTTCTGGTCTCTTAATCTCTGATGCATGACCTAAATCAATATAATCCTGAATAAAACTAACATACTGCTTCTTTACATCAGGCTGCCTTCGAAAACGCTTTTCCAATAATTGTAATCTTTTATGAGCTAAATGAAATGAATCACCCAGGTGTACAAACTCAGATTTCAATGGCAACTTGACACAAAATATTCCATCGTCCATACGCTGTGTATGCTCCAAGAAGTGTTTCTCACAAGCTACCTCCTCAGACGACTGCACAAGCGTAGCTGGTACCTCTTCCAGATCCCAAAATCTTTGTAGCTGCCTCTTAATGTCTTGACTGAAATTGCATGTAATCTTAGAATTAACACCTGACATTACAGGTCCAGCTATCAGCCAGCCAAAACTGCTTTTTTGTAATATGCTAACATGCCTGTTAGTACCTAATTTTATTTGTTCTAAACAGATAACATCCCAAAATACAACTGCTCCTAGTAACAAATCTATTTCAGCTGATTGAAAATAGTAAGGATCTGCTAATTGAATATTACTTGGAATGTTAATACTTGACACATCAACATCATGACTTGGTAACACACTAGTCACCTGATTGAGCAATTTAAAATTGAGTAGTACATGACTGCACTAGTATTTCACAGCGCTGTAGCGCTTCAAAAGACATGCCATTGATGCCTGCTACACATACTGAAGGGATTTGTTTACTATTTAATGCTAATTTTTTTTTCATTTTTTGAGTTATGAATGACGATTGACTACCACAGTCAAGTAGGCAACGTGCCTTGAAACCTTGCTTAGTTACATTATTTGTAATGATAACAATTGCTGTCGACAACAAAACTTGACCAGCTATACAAGTCGATAGTGCCATTGATTTGGAAACTGTTGGCCCCGCTTCTGCATCCTTTACAGGTTCACTAGACTTATCTGAATGCAAAAGTGAGTTATGTTTCCCACCACATTCATTACATTGGCTTGATCTGCACTGATTATCAAAGGTGTCCCTTTCGGAGACAATTTACACATAACCTTTGCCTGACTACCTTCTAAAATCTCTCTGATGGAGACATGCTTAAAATTTTTTTGCAATAGTATATAAGATGCTCACCACCACAAACCATGTATGATCTATTGTTTTGTTTGGCTTCAGAAGCAGCAGCAACAAAAGCTCTTTGTGTTTTATCTATGCGCTTAAACTGTTGGTAATTAACTTGTTTAGAACTAATGTCAGTGCCACTGCTTACCGAGAGCATTTCAACAAAATTTTTCTCTGTTTCTTAAGAACTCATAAAAGGTATCTAATGTTATAGTTGTCAAACTATTCTTATGCTCCTCCCATTTACTAAAGGTAACACCATTTAACTTAGCTGAATACATAAATATAATCATTGTATCCCAGTTTTCTGTATTTTGATCTAAACTATTTAAAGCCCTCAGATTTCTAGAAATATGGTCAACAAGAGACCTTAAATAATGATGACACTCTTTATCATTAGATGGTATTTCAAATAAAGCCCTTAAATGTATGTGCACAAGCTGCTCCTTGTTATGAAAGCGATCACACACCAACTTCCATGCCACTTCATAGTTTCTATCCGTAAGCTCAAGCGATTCAATCACTGAAGCCGCATTCCCACACAAAGAACTTTTCAAGTATTGATATTTACTTATATTTGGCAAAGAGGAATTTTCATGAATGAGAGAAGCATGTACATCATAAAATTCTAACCATTGTGCTGGGTCACCACTAAAGGTAGGTAATTTTAAAACAGGCAATTTAATATTAGTAACAAATGAACCTTCCAATGGTGAACGGCACACTGGTTCTGACACTGTGTTTGTGTTATTGGATTCACTGTCATATTTTTCAATTAACTCCTGAGCTTCAGCAATAGTAGAATAAAATATTCTATCAGTCTGTCAGTCACGGAAACTTTATCTACGCGTTTTTAAAGCGTTTTATTAGAAAAATGTCCAAATTGAACGCTGAAACGATTATAAGCGAATTGCCCAAGAAGATTGCAACGTTGACGCTGAAGATTACGATCCAATCTGCACTTATTGAGGCACAAAACAAGAAAATTGATAATCAACAGCAAACGATTAATCACTTAACGAAGGTAATTGAAGATTTAACCACTAAAATCGACAAGCTGCTAACATCAACAAGTGTGAGTGAGATACAAGAACCAACTAAGATGGCCGCTACGCAAGGTGTAAGCGAGACACTAGCAGTTGCAGCAGCAAACGTGCCAGCGCCGAATGTAACGAGTCGCGCGCGCCGAGCGATGGAACGAAATAAATCTAAGGGTGTGCACACACACAGCAGTAATACTGATGAAAATGTGACATTGTCTAAACAGCAGCTTGTGGGGAAACCAGGTAAATCTGATGACAATTGGAAAGTTGTTAGTAGGAAGAAGACTACCTTGGCTTGCAAGACTATTTTGAAAGGAGGGAATCCGCAGATATCATCGTTCCAAGCCATACAAAAAAAGAAGTTCTTACATATATGGTCTCTGCACCCGGATACCGCAGTAGAGACGATAACGGAGCACGTTAAATCTATTTGTACATCGGATGATATAAAAGTGGAAAAAATCATCCCTAAAACTAAAAGGGATTACGCTTCTTTTATGATAGGAGTTCCAGAGTCTGAATTCGATGCAGTGAAAAGTGCAGACAGTTGGCCGGTTAATACTCGATTAAATGAATGGGTGTGGTTTCGCAACTCCCGTAGGCCTACAGAAAGTGGGGAGGAAACCCACTAAGTATATTCAAATGTATTACAAAAACGTCCGAGGACTGCGAACGAAGACGGCAACTTTGTACAAAAATGTGTTAGCATCAAATTATGACATTTTTGCAATTACTGAGTCTGAATTGAATATGTCTATAAAAGACGGTGAACTTATTCCAAACGGATATCAAATATTACGGTGTGATCGAACGGACGGCAGAAAACAAGGAGGTGTGTTCGTAGCGGTATCTTCCCGGTTTGATATTAATCAGGTGCGGATTGACAATGTAGACGCGGCCTTATTTGAGATTGCTTGCGCGACGGTCAGCCGTAGAAATAAGTTGTTGTTTCTATGTTGCGTGGTGTATATTCCACCAAAATGTAATTATAGTGAATATATGTCATTATTTCAAATTCTTGAAAAAGTATGTGTAAAGTATGAATCAGTAATAGTAATAGGTGATTTTAACATGCAGTCAGCAGCGGTCGAAGTACAAAATTACTTGGAATATTTTAATGCCTTCTGTGGATTACGGCAGATAAATAATATTTGTAATATTAATAATCGTACACTAGATTTGGTACTTACTAATGTATTGGCGAGTGATATAGAAGTTAAAATATCGGATGAGCCTTTGGTAGGCATTGACGATCATCATCCGCCCTTAGACATTAACCTTTCAATAACATCTAGCCGGAATACTTCCCAGGTGCCTATGCAGGACGACATAGACATTGACAACAACCGTAGTAATAACTGGAACTTCAATAAGTGTAATTTTACAATGTTATATGAGATATTTAACATGTTAGATTGGGATACATTGTATGATATTAAACGTTCAGAGGAGGCGTTGACCTATTTCTATAATATTGTTAATAAGGCTATAAATGAGTGTACTCCCACGAAAACCAAAACAAGTAAAATGAGTCGTAGGTACACATATCCAGAATGGTACAAGCCAGATTTAATACGCGATAATAAGATAAAATCAAGATATCACAAAATTTTCAAAATTACAGGTTCCCAGTGTGATTACGAAACGTTTTCACGGTATCGCTCATTGGTGAAGCGTAAACTTGAGTCGTCCTATAAAGCGTACCAGCGTAGATTACAAATAAATATTAATAATGAGCCGAAATCTTTTTGGAATTACGTAAAAAATAAACAGGGTAGGCGTAATAACAACGTAATAAGGCAACATGGTAGGGTATTAAGCGCGAAAGAGTGTGCGGAGTGTTTTGCTATATATTTTCACTCAGTGTATAGCGAGGAACGTCCAGCGTTGGGTCCGGTCGCGGCGGAACGATCGGCAGGTGTGAGCGCCGGTGCAGCTCGGGTACATATGGGTCAGCTCACTGAGCGTGAGCTGCGATCCAACAATACAGGTACCAACTTGCTATCTTTTACAACATATCTAACACCAGTCATTGATGCGGGAGGACAGGTAGATTGTGCGTACTTCGATTTCCGGAAGGCTTTTGATGTCGTCAACTGGGTTTTACGTCGCAACCGGCCTGTTGGACTACCGGCGGTAGTCCAACAGGCCGAGTGTCTGCTGTTTGCAGATGACCTTAAGGTGTATTTGTCGATAGCAGACGCGTCGGACGCGGAGAGGTTGCAAGGTGATGTGGATAGGGTAGTGCAGTGGAGCAATACTAACAAAATGCATTTCAACATACTTAAGTGCGGAGTAATGAGTTATACACGGGCGAGGACTCCTTATGTACGATGCGCTTAGGTTGTACCCGTGACTTAGGGGTTGAAATGGTACCTGAGCTGACGTTTCGTAAACACATTGTGAACATCTGCGGCAAGGCGTTTAGAAATTTAGGGTTCATTTTAAGAAATTGTAAAGATTTTGAGAATACAATAGCCGTGAGAATATTATACAACGCACTTGTTCGGAGTCATCTTGAATCGACAGCCATTATCTGGAATCCCCATGAGGCGAAGTATAGCCTTATGGTGGAAAAAATACAAAACAAATTCGCTCGATTTTTGTATTTTAAAGAATATGGAGTGTACCCTTTGTACCCACTGATGTACCCCAGTTTGTTTGTACTCGGCATGGTAGGGTACGTGCGGTTGAGCGTGCGGCGCGATGTCGCGCTAGCGTGCTATGTGTGGCGCGTGCTGCGCGGTCAGCGGCACCACCCGGCCGTGCTGGCGTGCCTACGGCTATGTGCCCCCAACGGATGCGTAGGCGCCCGTCGCCGCTTAGTAGCACTCAGCGTGCCGGTGGCGAGAACCAACATGCTCAAATTTGCCCCCTTGTCGCGCGCCATACGTATTATTAATGTTATTGCGGCAAATACAGACATCTACAACTGTAGCCTGTCGAAATTCACAGAAGTAGCACAAAGTTGCGTTATTTCTGACATGTAAATAATTTAAATTCATTATTTCTATCTATATTAATTTGTTTAAATCATTTATAAAAATCATTTATAAAATTATGCAATTTAGATTCTAAGACAATCAGATAACTAGTTATAAGCTTGCAATATTGCCTTGGGAGTATGTTCCTGTAAAATATTGTGAATGTATCTAAATAAATAAATAAAAAAATAAATAAATGTTTTCTGTTTCATTGCGCTCTAGACATTGATTAGATTCAGAACCAATTGTATCCTTATTCTCTTTCACCTCAAGGTCAGACTGTATGGTATCATATTCAGAGAATAACAACTCAAGCTTAGACAACCTATTTTTTAACTCTATAACTTGCTGTAAACTTAATTTTGCAATACCTTTCACTAATTTTAAATGATTGATAAAATGTGTGAGTCTACCTTTTATTGAACCTCTTTTAACCTTTAACTCTCTTATCTCTGTGTCAGACATTGCAAAGGCAACAAGGCAATAAAACAATCAAGCTATAAATACCAGTGAATAAGCACTATAAATACCTTCGCGAAGCAAACCTTGAATCAGCGACAAAATGGCGAAGCAGATTATGTTTGGTGCAGATTGAGCAGCAGACATGCATGTGATCGACAAAGCTTGTGGTCGGTCAATCCACCTCTCCGTATTTAAATGTTGTACACCAGCGCACTTGCCGTTTCTGAAAAAGTTCGGCCGCTCGAATAATGCAAATGTTTTTGAAAGTCAGACGATATATTGTTTAAAATGGATAGAAACCAAATTACTTTACGAATTCTATATAAGGAGGTAGTTCTAGAAGTTTCAGATTTAAGATAATTTTAAAAACGTCCAATCCTTAAAATAGTTCTTAAGTTACAAATTTTAAATTATAATTATTGAAAATTTTATGGGGTTATGAAAACAATTTGAAAACTGGCTAATAATGACAAGTTGTGAACTTGATGATATTGCGTTATGATTTGTGCAGAAAAAAAGCTACACGGATTAGGATGGGAGTGATAGGAATGGGCAAACCTCCCTCGTTTTCCTTTCTCCGACTAGACTCCGTGGTTTCTTCTACGCCCACGTTATATTTTGTTAAAAATCGATCGACGCCATCAAGCGGCCACGCCTCGCCTCGTGTCAATTTTCGATTATCCTTTCTTGCAAAGTGAGTCCTGTCACGGTCGCCAAATTATTGTTGTAGATTTTAATGAAACTAACTAAGCACATTTATAGCACTTTACTGAATACAAGTACAATACAAATCGGTAGCGTTTAGCGTTCTAATGTAGACGCGCGGCCAGTCGACCATGTTGGCTTTTGTCTAATGACGCGGGAAGCCGTCAGCGAGGCCGCGCGGGGTGTGCGCAGGGGCACGCGGGAATGCCGGCAAAGGCGGCAAGCCATTGTGCCAACAGAAGGTATCTTGGAGTGGAAGCCAACAGAATCCTGTGTCCTCACTTTTGATGGCCAGGTTCTACCTAAACGAGTTTTCTGCTGCTATAATTCTCTTCTTGTACAGCAATATATTTACCCTACCGTCCAATGTAGGAAATGCTGCAGGTTTGGTCATGTGGAGTCTATCTGCAGATCTAGGCCTAGATGCAACAAGTGCGGACATGAGCATCCCAGTAACGAATGTGAGGTAACAGAAACGGGGGCCTTTTGTGTCCTATGCTCTGGTGGTCACTTTGCCAACAGCAAGGCTTGCCCGGAGTATGGCAGGCAGAGGGCCATTAAGATCATGATGGCGGAAAAAAACATTTCCTATATGGAAGCAGATAAAGTGGTCCCTTCTACTACTCGCAGCTATGCTGATACCCTAAAGACCCCACAATTTACCCAATCCTCTCAGCCCACCCAACCCATCCAGTCTACCCAGACCCTTCAGTCTACCCAACCCATTCAACAAACCCAGTCCTACCGAAAAACTGCTCTTCGGCAGCCTAAACCTCGCCCTTTTTTTTTTTTTTTTTTTTTAACGTGTGGAAATCCCCTCGGACCGTCACCCCTCCGGGGTTTGCGGCGGGGTGGTGTGTCGGACTCGGACCGACTAAAACCACACGGTGTGCCACTCTGCGCCTGTAACAGGAGGGATCCGGGAACAGCTGTTGTTAAGACATCCGGACCCCTCCTAGCGCCAGCCCGCTCCTGGTGCTGGCTCCGTCTCAATATTTTTCCTCTCTTTAGGCGACGTCCGGCACACGCGGACGCCGCCCCCTCGCGGCTGGCCAAACTAATGCGGGTGGAGGGGAAACCCACCCCGTCCACCCGCGGCCACACTCAGGGCGGCATGAGGCTGTGATAGGCGGGCCTCCGCCGCCCGGTTCGCCGGCGGCGGATCGGGTCCGAGTGGAGGTCGTCCTCCCGGGCCCTCTCCGCCGCCTCCTTCCGCGAGATTACTACCTCGCAGAAGGTTGCGACCGCGGTAAAACAACTGTCGCTACCGGCCATGGAGCGTACTACGGCCGGTAGCGAGAGATCCACTCCGATGACTGCAGTGAGGGCCCGGCGCTGCGCCGCCCATGCGGGGCAGACCGCCAGCGTGTGCTGGGCCGAGTCCTCACTGCAGTCGCAGTGGTGGCAGGCGGGACTCAGTTCCCTCCTAGCGACCGAGTGCAGGTACTTTCCGAAGCAACCGTGCCCGGAAAGCACCTGCGTCAGCCGGAAGGAAAGGGTCCCGTGCTGCCGCCCTGCCCACTCGGCGATGACCGGCTGGAGAGCCTCCACGGCGGCGAAGCCAGCGCGTGGAGTCTCCAGCCGGAACGACCAACGAGCCATCGTGGCTCGGCGAGCGGCTTCGCGCCACTCGCGCACATCCTCGGGCGGAGGGCGCTCTCCGCCCGGGAGTCAGCCACTCGCCGATAAACTTCGGCGAGCACTTCCGCCTCCAAATCCCACGGGGGAGTTCCGGCCAACGCGCATGCCACCTCCGTCGAAACGGTGCGGTAACCGCGTATGGCTCTGACCGCCATTACCCTCTGAGGGCGCCAGAGGCGTACCCTATTCTGGACGGTCAGAGCCGCCGCCCACACCGGTGCACCGTACAGTGCCATTGACCGGACAACCCCCGTGTACAGCCGTCTTGTCGCGACGCTGGGTCCAAGCCTAAACCTCGCCCTTTTTTTTTTTTTTTTTTTTTACGTGTGGAAATCCCCTCGGACCGTCACCCCGCCGGGGCTCTCGTTCGGCGGGGCGGTGTGTCGGACTCGAACCGACTAAAACCACACGGTGTGCCCTCTTTGCGCTTCCAGTTTAGGAGGGGTCCAGGTAGTTATCGCCTTCTGGACCCCTCCCAGCGCCAGCCCGCTCCTGGTGCGGGCTCCGTCTCCAGGACCTCTCTTTTTAGGCGGCGTCCGGCACACGCGGACGCCGCCCCCTCGCGGCTGGCCAACTAATGCGGGTGGAGGGGAGAACCCATCCCGTCCACCCGCGGCCACACTCAGGGCGGCATGAGGCGCAGGTGAGCGCGCCTCCGCCGCCCGGTTCGCCGGCGGCGGATCAGGTCCGAGTGGAGGTCGTCCTCCCGGGCCTTCTCCGCCGCCTCCTTCTGCGAGATTACCTCCTCGCAGAAGGTTGCGACCGCGGTAAAACAACTGTCGCTACCGGCCATGGAGCGAATTACGGCCGGTAGCGAGAGATCCACTCCGATGACTGCAGTGAGGGCCCGGCGCTGCGTCGCCCATGCGGGGCAAACCGCCAGCGTGTGCTGGGCCGAATCCTCACTGCAGTCGCAGTGGTGGCAGGCGGGACTCGATTCCCTCCTAGCGACCGAGTACAGGTACTTTCCGAAGCAACCGTGCCCGGAAAGCACCTGCGTCAGCCGGAAGGAAAGGGTCCCGTGCTGCCGCCCCGCCCACTCGGCGATGACCGGCTGGAGAGCCTCCACGGCGGCGAAGCCAGCGCGTGGAGTCTCCAGCCGAAACGACCATCTCACCATGGTGGCTCGGCGAGCGGCTTCGCGCCACTCGCGCACGTCTTCGGGCGGAGGGCGAAATCCGCTCTCCGCCCGGAAGTCAGCCACTCGCCGATAAACTTCGGCGAGCACTTCCGCCTCCAAATCCCACGGGGGTGTTCCGGCCAAGGCACAGGCCGCCTCGGTGGACACCGTGCGGTATCCGCGTATGGCTCTGACCGCCAGTATCCTCCGCGGGCGCCAGAGGCGCGCCCTATTCGGGGCGGTCAGGGCCGCCACCCACACCGGTGCACCATAAAGCGCCATGGACCGGACAACCCCCGCGTACAGCCGCCTCGTGGGAACACTGGCCCCGCCCAAATTGGGCAAAAGTCGCCCTAGGGCGGAGGCAGTGTCCACCAGCTTCGGACCAAGCTGTCGGAAGTGCTCGTCGAAGAGCCACCTACCGTCTAGGACCAGACCCAGGTACCTCATCTGGGTCCGGACCGGTACGAGGACCGAGCCGACCTCGATTGAGGCGCCGGCGGGTGGACCACGACGGGGCCCATGGAATAATAGGGCCTCCGTCTTATCCAGGGCCACCCGTAATCCCAACGCCTCAATGCGCCCGACCACCTGGGAAACTCCCGTGGCGGCCAGGCGCGCCGCCTCCTGGAAGTTAGCCCCCCGGGCCGTGACTAAAGTGTCATCCGCGTAGCAGATTACACCCAGCCCGGGGGGGAGACGCCCTCGTAGGGCCCAGTCGTACCCGATGTTCCACAGGAGAGGTCCTAGGACAGACCCCTGCGGAACACCGCACGACATGGCCCTGCGTCTCAAGACGCCATCTCGGTCCTCGTACATGACGGTTCGCTCCTCAAGATAGTCTGCCACCAGCCGCCTCAGGTACTCCGGCACTCCGTGGTAGCGGAGCGCTTCCCTGATGCAGCTGAATGGCAGACTATTGAAGGCGTTGGCGATGTCCAAGGACACCGCCAACACCACTCCGCCGCAGCTCACGGCCTCCTCGGTCACGGCCCTAAGGCGCATTACGGCATCGATCGTCGAACGCCCCTCTCGGAAACAAGCCTAAACCTCGCCCTACACTATCCAAATCCTATGATATAGCTGCACACCAATCTATCATTCACTCTCCCCAACCTTCTCAACCTAATGGTTGTGCTCTTAACTCATCACTCGAGACTTCTACTATTGACCTTATAATACAGCTTTTGACTTCTTTATTAACCTCCAATTTACCTCTATCTCAATCCCCTTCTAGTATACCGTCCAACGTTGCTAACACACTCATCAACTTATTAACCAACTTTAAAAATGGCATCCCAACAAGTATTCCTACAGTGGAATGTGAGGAGTGTGTTTCATAAGAAGCATGACCTCATATTCTTGTTGAATAAATACAAGCCTTTGGCTGTCTCTCTTGCTGAGACTTGGCTTCTACCGGGTCTCAACTTCCATGTTCCACATTTCAACATGCTTAGATGCGACAGGTCTGATGGTTACGGAGGTGCAGCCCTCCTTATAAATAACAGAGTCCCTCTATTACCCCTCCCCTTACCCCCATTCCCAGATGATATCAGCATTGTAGCAGCGAAAATCAGTAGTGTATCTGTGCTTTCCATCTACATTGCTCACCCCCAGCAGAGTTTCCTCCCTATATTGAGAGACTTGCTACAGAGCCTACGGAGCCCAATATTAGTTATGGGAGATTTCAACTGCCATCACTTTAGTTGGGGATCTGAGCATTGTGACAGTTTTGGCATTGGTTTGTTGGAGATCATTGATGATTTGAACCTCTGTGTTCTCAATAACGGCTGCTCCACTCGTAGAGTCCTCCCTGGTCAGAAAAAAAGCTGTGTTGATTTGACCATTTGCTCCCTGGAAGTTGCTGCGGCTGCTTGCTGGCGGTGCACGGATTTGTCTCTAGGTAGCGATCATTACCCAATATTATTATCCCTCCCTAGCTCAACTCACCTGGAAAAATCATGCCCTCCCCTCTTAAAATATAACCTCTCGGAAGCTGACTGGCGAAATTTCTCTCAAATCCTTGAATCAAATGTTCATACCCTCCCTAGATTTGACTACAGATCCCTATCCTACG